ATATATATATATATATATATGTATCGTGCAATCGAAAGATATTTATTTTTGCATGTGGATGTAACGGAACGAAGATTAAATTGAATATAGGAAATCTCAACGATTATGAAACAATTTACAGCTTCATCCAAGATGGAATCATGTGAAGCAGGACCTTTAGTTTTATACTCAACTGCACAAGCGTGGGCAGCTCAGTTTCATCGCAGTCTTATGCCTACCAGGGTATCAGAATCGTCCGATGAAGAGGATTTTTCTCAATATCAGTTTGAAGATGACTTGGAGTACCTTAGATCATTGGACCCAAAGGAGTGGAGAGATCAAGATCATTACGCTGTTTTAGGCTTGAAAAAGCTTAGGCACAAAGCAACCGAAGATATTATAAAAAGGGCTTGTACGTAGAGAAAGTTCAAAGTATACTCTGTAAAGGAATGTAGGTGTTATATCGTTCATTGTCTTGCCTGACACAATGATTAACGCGGTTGAGGAGTATTTGATATGTGAATTACAGATAAGCAGAAAATTCTGAAACATCATCCAGATAAGCGGAAGGCCATGGGAGAGGAAATCCGACCAGACGACGATTACTTCACCTGCATAACACGGGCTTGGGAAATTTTAGGGAACCCTGCAAAGCGTCGGAGTTACGACAGTGTGGATCCATATTTTAGCGACGAATTACCGGACGAAAAAGATTGTAAAAATAATTTTTACGCGATTATGGGTAAAGCATTTAAGGAAAATGCTAGATGGTCTACAAAAAAGCCCGTACCACGTTTAGGTGGATCAGATACACCTAGAGATAAAGTAGAAAAATTTTATTCATTTTGGTATGATTTTGACTCGTGGCGCGAATATTCTTATTTAGACGAAGAAGACAAAGAAAGTGGTCAAGAGTAAGTAATATCCCCTATACAATATTTCTATTTCTTAATACGTTTTTATAATTGATCTTAATCTTTCTTTTAGCCGAGATATGCGTAAATGGATCGAGAAGAAGAATAAAGCAACTCGTGCGAAACGAAAGAAGGAAGAAATGGCACGTATACGTACATTGGTTGATATGGCTTATAATATCGATCCTAGAATAAAAAAATTCCAGCAGGAAGATAAAGATAAGAAAACAGCAGCAAAAAAAGCGAAACAAGAAGCGGCAAAAGCAAGACAACAAGAAGAGGAAAGAATAGCGCGAGATGCAGCAGAAAAGGAACGACTAGAAAGAGAAAAGCGAGAGATCGAAGAGAAAGCAAAACTGGATGCGCTTAAACAAGAAAGAGAAGCGCAAAAGAAAGCACTTCGTAAAGAAAGAAAAGCGTTGAGAGATTTTTGCAAAGCTAACAATTACTTTGCTCAAAATTCGGAAGAAAATATTAAGCATATGGAAAGTGTTGAAAAAATTTGTGAACTTTTTAAATTAGTTCAATTGGAGGAAGCGATGAAGAAATTACAGGCTGAGGGTAGGATAGCATTTCTAAATATTATGGAAGAAACTGAAAAAAAAATAGAAGCAGAACGTAGAGCTGGTGTTATTTCAAATGATATGAGAAACACGCCGGAAAAGCAAGTAAAATCTCACACTGCTCCATGGAATGAAAATGATTTACAACTTCTGATAAAAGCGGTGAATTTATTTCCGGCTGGAACAAATCAACGTTGGGAGGTAGTTGCAAATTTTATTAATCAGCATAGTACATCTTCTACCGGAATCACACGCGATGCGAAAGAGGTTCTCGCAAAAGCTAAAGATCTACAATCGACAGATTTTAGTAGATCAAGCCTAAAAGAGCAAGCAAACAAAAAGGCGTACGATAATTTTATTGCCGAGAAGAAAACAAAGGAATCGATCGAAGATAGAATGCCAGCAGTTACGGAACGTTTAGATCACCCTATTTTGAATGGTATTAATTCTGAACAAAAGAAAGAGTCGCAGCCTTGGACTCCAGCAGAGCAGAAACTTTTGGAACAAGCTTTAAAGACTTATCCTACGAGTGTGCCTGATAGATGGGATCAGATAGCTGCTTGTATTCCAACTAGGACAAAAAAAGAATGTATGAGAAGGTATAAGGTATGTTTCGGAGAAATATCGTTTCAAGATATATCATTTTTCTTTTTTTTTTTTTTTTTTTTTTTTTTTTTTTACATATTAAAATTTATACCATCATTTTGCAGGAGCTGGTCGAACTTGTCAAAGCAAAAAAGGCTGCACAAGTAATGAAATAATATTAGTCTGTCCTTATTATGAAATTTTTTTTAACTTATTAAATTCGAATACAAAGAAATAAGTTTGGAAGACGAATTGAATTTTAGCTTTTTCCGAACGTCGGCTATTGTATATACTTGTGCCTTGTTTTAATTTGTACATGCACAGTTTGCAACAAGAATTCTAGAAATTTTCTGCTACTTATACGCAAGAAAGCAATTTACCGCACTTAGTGACTGTACATTTATCGCAGATGTTAAATGCATGGAAAATTGTGGTCCCAAGGTTCAAATTGACGCTCCTGAAAATAAATTTCTTTTTTCTTTTTTTTTTTTTTTTTTTTTTTTTTTTTCTTTTTTTTTTTTGACATAACAATTGTTTTACGATCGAACGATTAAAGTGTCTTGTAAGTAATGTAAAATACGATACTAAAGAGCAATTGCCATTTACGTCAAAGCGTACATACATACTTTATAAATAAAAAAATGACCGATATTTCGAAAACGCGTGTTGTCTTCAATCTCCACTCGAATACACAACTAGGTCGTGAGATGCTTGAAATTCTTATATTTTTAATTTGACACATTTTTTTTTTTTTTTTTTTTTGACAACATTAACAACAACAATTTTTCTGTGTTAGTTCCTTTCTATGCAGCGAATACTATCCATGCAGTTCCTTCGTCGTTCTCGCCAGTTTCGTTTGCGCAATATTCTCGGAACCACATGCACGTATTTAGCATTTCGAATGCATCTGCGCTCAACATTTCGCTTTACCCAACAACCGTTTAGAATTTCAATCAAGTTTGGAAAATCGAACATCGAACAAAAGGATCGATCTTTGAGTAAACGAGAAGCAAAGTATTGAGCGTAGGTTCATTGTAGATAAATTTTTTTTGTTTGAAAAAACGGAGAAAAAAAAAAATATGATTATCGTAAAGCGTAAGCCTAGTGGTGGGTAAGTGATTTTTTTTAACTTTTTAACTCGTTTGGCTATGTGCCTTTCGACATTTTTCTCGAAAGAAATGTAAATACAGAGTGACCGATGTTTTACGATCATTCGTTCGTTCAACCATTTACGTGATAAATAAGTACCGTTATTTGGCTTCTTGCAAACGCAAGCGTCGCATTTTTTTTCCTATATAAGTATCACCAGGTGCAGAAAGAAACTGGACTCGCATTTCCAATTTGCACCATGTATTTTTTTACTTTTTTCTTTTTTTTTTTTCTT